ACCTATATACACACACACACACACACACACACACACACACACACACACACCTGGCATCAATTCAGCCGTTAGCTCATCTTTTTTTTCTTTTGCTTGTTTCCCTTCCTTCCGAATTTAACGTTGCCGCAATGCTGCGTGCCATGTTGCTCTCCTCTGAGTACCAAAGATCCTGAAATTGCTTGACCGATTCTGTTTTGTTTTTCTTTTGTTTTTCCTGAATGAAAAAGGTGATTCGCTCTTTTTTTTTTTGTTTTTAAATGAGGAGTAACTTAAAAAAAGATATCTGTTATGAGTTGATAGAAGCTTCACAACATTAGTGGGGTGGGGTGGAGCATCTACAGAAGCTTCCTGCAAGAGCCACCCCTTCTCATCACTTTGAGTAACATCGCAACACATACAGAAATGGGGTGAGACTTACAGGACAATATTAATGTTGTTATTCTGTTCCCCCGCAGACATTACTGGCGTGGCCCGAAGCTCATTAAAAGCTGCCCTAAGTCTAAAAGATGAATTTAATATTTACATTTCTGACTGCAGGATTTGTTGTTCTCTTTTTTTTAACCCACGTATCCCGCAATTCCTGGGGCATTAATCGGCCCTTCAAGATTATGCTCTCGTTTTCTTCAACCATTTCAAGCAGGTGGTTTGTTATCTTGATTTTGTTTTGAGGTCAATTTCATTTCAAAACATTCAGGATTTGAATGGCCACCGCACCTTTCCTCTTTTTACAAAAAAATAAAATAAAATCAAGTAAAATAAATTCCGTAGTTGTGGCTTGCAAAAAGTTACACTAGAAGGCATTATAAATATTTATATAAGGCTTTTTACAGCATATGAAATAAAGATGGCATTTTTAAAAATATATAAAGTGGTCTTCTCGTCCAGTATGTTAAAGCATGAAAAGTCTTCATAAAGGGGAATCTTTTTAGCTCAGGGTTGAAATGAAGGGTCCTTGGGGCTCTCTGAGGTTGGTGGTTTTCTTGGCAGATGTTTCGTGACCCAACTAGGTAATCTCATTAGTGCTAGAAAGGAAGAGGAGGAGAGGAGGATGGAAAGGAAGGTACCCTTCTTCTTCTTCTTCTTCTTCTTCTTCTTCTTCTTCTTCTTCTTCTTCTTCTTCTTCTTCTTCTTCTTCTT